GGGGAGGGTGTCAAGGGGTCTCCCAGGTCCTTGGGTCCCTGGTGACGTGGTGGCCCCGGCAGGGGACGAAGATCTTCCAGAAGAAGAAGATCCTGGTGACCTACAGCTTCCGCCAGAGCTTTCCCCTCGTTGAGATGCACATGCAGCTCTTCCAGAATGCCTGTGAGCCCCATGGCACCCCACGGCGCCCCATGGCACCCCACGGCACCCCACGACACCCCACGGCCCCACAGCACCTCCATGGGACATCCCCTGCCCCTATGTCCCATAGGGTCCACCACCAGATGACCCTTTGCCCTGTGGGGTGTCCCCTGTTGGATGTGCCATGGTGGCCTCCATGGGATGTCTCATGGTGTCCCCCATAGGATGTCCCCTATAGGTTTCCCCATGGTGTCACCCGTAGGATGTCCCCTGTAGGATGTCCCCTATAGGATGCCCCATGGTGTCCCCCATGGGATGTCCCCTATAGGATGTCCCATGGTATCCCCCATGGGATGTCCCCTATAGGATGCCCAATGGTGTCTCCTATAGGATGTCCCATGGTGTCCCCCATGGGATGTCCCCTATAGGATGCCCCATGATGTCCCCTCTAGGATGTCCCATGGTGTCCCCCATAGGATGTCCCCTATAGGATGCCCCATGATGTCCACTATAGGATGTCCCCTCTAGGATGCCCCCTCTAGGATGTCCCATGGTATCCCCCATGGGATGTCCCCCATAGGATGCCCCATGATGTTCCCTATAGGACGTCCCATGGTGTCCCCTATAGGATGCCCCATGGTGTCCCCCACAGGATGTCCCCTCTAGGATGCCCCATGGTGTCCCCTATAGGACACTGGGATGGGCATGGGGGTCACTGGGAGGGCACCAGGAGCACTGGGAGGGGCACCTGGAGCACTGGGAGGGGCTCTGGGAGCACTGGGAGGGGCGCTGGGAGCAGTGGGAAGGGCACTGGGAGCACTGGGATGGGCATGGAGGGCACTGGGAGCACTGGGAGGGGTGCTGGGAGGACTGGGAGTGTTGGGAAGGGCAGTGGGAGCACTGGGAAGAGCACTGGGAGCAGTGGGAAGAGTGTTGGGAGCACTGGGATGGGCATGGGGGTCACTGGGAGGGCACCAGGAGCACTGGGAGGGGCACCTGGAGCACTGGGAGGGGCTCTGGGAGCACTGGGAGGGGCGCTGGGAGCAGTGGGAAGGGCACTGGGAGCACTGGGATGGGCATGGAGGGCACTGGGAGCACTGGGAGGGGTGCTGGGAGGACTGGGAGTGTTGGGAAGGGCAGTGGGAGCACTGGGAAGAGCACTGGGAGCAGTGGGAAGAGTGTTGGGAGCACTGGGATGGGCATGGGGGTCACTGGGAGGGCACCAGGAGCACTGGGAGGGGCACCTGGAGCACCGGGAGGGGAACTGGGAGGACTGGGAGCACTGGGATGGGTACTGGGAGCACTGGGAGGGGCACTAGGAGGTGCGTTGGGAGCAGTGGGAAGGGCACTGGGAGCACTGGGATGGGCATGGAGGGCACTGGGAGCACTGGGAGGGGTGCTGGGAGGACTGGGAGTGTTGGGAAGGGCAGTGGGAGCACTGGGAAGAGCACTGGGAGCAGTGGGAAGAGTGTTGGGAGCACTGGGATGGGCATGGGGGTCACTGGGAGGGCACCAGGAGCACTGGGAGGGGCACCTGGAGCACTGGGAGGGGCTCTGGGAGGGGCGCTGGGAGCAGTGGGAAGGGTGCTGGGAGCACTGGGAGGGGCACTGGGAGCACTGGGATGGGCATAGGGGGCACTGGGAGCACTGGGAAGGGCACTGGGAGCAGTGGGAAGGGCGCTGGGAGGACTGGGAGTGTTGGGAAGGGCAGTGGGAGCACTGGGAAGAGCACTGGGAGCAGTGGGAAGAGTGTTGGGAGCACTGGGATGGGCATGGGGGTCACTGGGAGGGCACCAGGAGCACTGGGAGGGGCACCTGGAGCACTGGGAGGGGCTCTGGGAGGGGCGCTGGGAGCAGTGGGAAGGGCACTGGGAGCACTGGGAGGGGCTCTGGGAGCACTGGGAGGGGCACTGGGAGCACTGGGATGGGCATAGGGGGCACTGGGAGCACTGGGAAGGGCACTGGGAGCACTGGGAGGGGTGCTGGGAGGACTGGGAGTGTTGGGAAGGGCAGTGGGAGCACTGGGAAGAGCACTGGGAGCAGTGGGAAGAGTGTTGGGAGCACTGGGATGGGCATGGGGGTCACTGGGAGGGCACCGGGAGCACTGGGAGGGGCACCTGGAGCACTGGGAGGGGCTCTGGGAGCACTGGGAGGGGCGCTGGGAGCAGTGGGAAGGGCGCTGGGAGGACTGGGAGTGTTGGGAAGGGCAGTGGGAGCACTGGGAAGAGCACTGGGAGCAGTGGGAAGAGTGTTGGGAGCACTGGGATGGGCATGGGGGTCACTGGGAGGGCACCAGGAGCACTGGGAGGGGCACCTGGAGCACCGGGAGGGGAACTGGGAGGACTGGGAGCACTGGGATGGGTACTGGGAGCACTGGGAGGGGCACTAGGAGGTGCGTTGGGAGCAGTGGGAAGGGCACTGGGAGCACTGGGATGGGCATGGAGGGCACTGGGAGCACTGGGAGGGGTGCTGGGAGTGGGGGGATGGGCATTGGGAGTGGTGGGATGGGCACTGGGAGGGTGCTGGGAGCACTGGGATGGGAATGGGGAGCACTGGGAGCAGTGGGAAGGGCACTGGGAGCACTGGGATGGGCATGGAGGGCACTGGGAGCACTGGGAGGGGTGCTGGGAGTGGGGGGATGGGCATTGGGAGTGGTGGGATGGGCACTGGGAGGGTGCTGGGAGCACTGGGATGGGAATGGGGAGCACTGGGAGCAGTGGGAAGGGCACTGGGAGCACTGGGAAGGGCGCTGGGAAGAGTGGGATGGGCAGTGGGAGCAGTGGGATGGGCATAGGGGGCACTGGGAGCACTGCGAAGGGCACTGGGAGCACTGGGAGGACTGGGAGTGTTGGGAAGGGCA